TAGGGACAGCTAGCGCAGATAGCTTTCGTGTAGCTTTGCGCGAAATTCAGAACAAACAAACAAACAAACTTATTAAAAAAATCACAGTTTGAACCGTCGTGGTTGTTGAAGTTTGTTTGTTTTGTTTTTGAATTTCGCGCAAAGCAAGAAAGACAACCACAACTAACATCCGATGCCACAAGAATTTTGTATCCCTCTTTAAACAAAATTAATGTGGTTCGCTGTTGCTTTATAACTTATACCTTAATTGCGGATAATATTTGGTGCCATCACGTCTCGAACCCTGGACCCTAAGATCCGCCTCCCTACTGTTAACCACTAAGCACCACCGACGCCTTCTTCTGTTTTATGCCAGACGTGGTAGTTTAGCTGGTTTACAGAAGAAGAAAAAAAGATTTACAACGCCGTCTTAAAATTTTGACAACGTTCTTTTTTAAAAATAACAGTTGAAAATAAGTTGGTAAAGCAAAGAAGCGTTGTTGGGTATGATAAAACGTTAAAGTTCACTACTGTTGATGTTTTACAATACATAGTTCTTAGCTAGCCTTTTATGAGGTTTAGTTTTAAGAGCATAAGAACCACATATATTTTGTTTCGCTAAGAATTATACAGTCAAACAGACTAGGAATCCACCAAGGACATGTAATTGTTTGTTTTTAGTTAAGACCCCCCCTCCCTTTTTATTTCTTAGCTATGTACTTGAATTACATCACAAAGCATAGGTATATGTATTTCTTAGCTATGTCTATTCATTTGGATTTGCCTCCTAGTGGCACAGTGGTATGTCTGCGGACTTATACCGCTAGAAACCGGGTTTCGATACCCGTGGTGGGCAGAGCACAGATAGCCCTTTGTGTAGCTTTGTGCTTAATAACAAACAACAACAACATCATTTGGATCTCCTTTTTTCTTTCTACGCGACTGGTGGTGAAATCAAACAAAGTACAAATGAAAATAAATTAAGCTCTTCGACGTTGACCAATAAAGTATTAAATGTCCGCCGAAAACTTTACACTTCTTTAGAAAATTTGTAGCTCACTCACACATACCTTAAGTACGGATTGTTTTGATGTGTTTGTATGTTCGTGTGCCAAGTAACCAAACATTGACAGGAAAAGCTATCGTTTCCTTATGCTAACTGTTTTGTGAAACAATATATATATATTACTGAATTTGATATACGATTATTTTCTTTTTAGATTGCAGCCATATTTCCTATTCTTAACGTCTATAGTTGCGTAGCTACCAAGTGGACACGTCACATGGGTTTCTGTATCACGTACAGCGCCCTCTTACTAAAAACATGGAGGTAAAAATATTAATGATTAATTACTGAGTGAAATATGCCAGTGTAATACAATTCATCATAATAAACTTCTAGAAAAAAATCCTCCACATGATTCTTAATTTTTTAGTAACTCCTGATAAAAAATATAGCTTAGCCCAAATATACTAAGAATACCAGTTATTGACGCTGTAATATAATTCTACTTACGGAGCCTGATAAGTTTCGTCCTAAAGAAGAATTTTTAAGCAATTCGAAACTTGTTAAAACCTTATATAGTGTTTTGGATTGTATATTTCAGTAGTTAATAATATTTTTTTATGACTATAAATTCAAACCTCTTTTTTTTGTTTTACTCCTAAGTATCAGTAAACATCTAACATGGTGTCTTATTCTAACAAAGGGTGTCGTTAACATACCGGGTCAAATCAGCCCACAAACTGAAACTGACTGACAAGCAACTTCTTCAGTGGTTGTTTCCAATCCTTTTCATTATGGGTATCTACTTGGGTTCATGGACAATTTCTTCTCCTCCCGAAGCCATCTATATTGAAGACTGGTTCAACTTGAAGTTTCGTCAGTGTGATTATAACTGGTGGGATCACAGTTTAGCTATTGGTGAGTCTGGTAATGTGACAAAGGTTTTATTTATAAGTAAAAAAATGTAAACAGTGCTGCTATCATTGATATTAAATATCGTTTTGAAGTCATTTTTAAATGTAATCGCAATGGCAAAATATTTTTCTTTTTTGTTTTATTTTTATAAACGAAAACTTCTTTCACGATCTTGTCTTCTCTTGTCATCTAGGAGAATTTCTCTTTTTGCTCTGGGGTATTCGTGTGTGCTATAACGTTCGAAATGCTGAGTCCTTCTTCAACGAAGCCAAACACATAAGCTGGGCCATCTGTAGTATTACTTGTGTCAATGTTATCATGGTTATGATACAGTAAGTAATTTTCCAGTGCATGTAGTATCTAACGTAAAAGGTAGAGGAAAGTGAGGTAAGACGGACCCCTTCGAAAGAAAAAAACGACCACCCCTGTATGCCATCAGTTATGACGTGCTACCATTTAGAGTGATATCATGCATAAACACACTGACAGATGAGCACAACTATGAATGATCAAAGTTGTTTTTGAACATCTTTGATGTAAGATTAGCACTTTTAATTTTTTATGGTTACAAAGTAGATATTTCAGGGAATTTCCCTTTCCTGATTTTAATCAATGAGGAATCACAGACAGCCCAATCAATACGCCATAAAAGAAACATAGTTAAATTTCATAGGTTTTATATAAAGTATGACTGCTTTAGGAGGAGTGGCATAGGGTAAGACGACCCACTCAAATACTGCTGGTTTCATTTCATACAGATATGAAATAGGGAAAAGACTATTATAATCCAACACTTATCTCACCTAGGTACCCATGTTCTTTTGTGCCATTGTCTCAGATAATACGTAACTTGCACATGACATACCCTGTCCATGCTGGGAGCATTTAATTATGCTTTTGCCTGAAAATTAGGATAATAACATTTGTTATGAATTAGATGAGAGCCATCTTAACCCATCTTGAATGTCAGTTTTATGCAGCTTTATAGGTAAAATCTTCCCCCTCCCAACTGTAATGAGTTCATTTTTTAAGTTTCTAAAAAAGGTCTATGTCCAGTCTTTGTTTTAACGAGGAATAACATTTATAATAAAAAAAGAGCTCATTTTAAATATCATTTTTAATATTAATCTTAATTAGTGGAATCAGCATTAAAAGTTAACGTAGCCGTCTTACCCTATCTTCCTCTACTTTATTATGCACAAAGAAAGTTATCATTTAGCTCATAATTTATTACAAAATATACCTTGCATTTTTTTTTCATTTAGTAGCTTTTAATTTTGTTGATTATAATATTATATGCATTTTATTATGTTCAAAAAACAGGTCAACTGATCCTATGGCTGACATTTTATTGAAACAATATACGTTGCATTTTTTGTATTAAATTTAAAGACAGCTTTTAATTTGTATGATAAATATATAAGGTTATGCAAGATGATTATATGGTTACAATATACAGTCGCATCAGTGAAATTAAAATCATTCATATAATAAATTTATTAAAACTTGTTGATAGAAAAACAATATTAAATAGCTAAAGTTCGCATGTGGGACGACAAAGTAAAATAAAAATAAAATTAATTTTAAAATTGATGTGTTAGTTTGAACCTTGGAATGGCCGTGAGCACATTAAGTAAATATGAAGTAACTGAGACTAGCGAAAACACTAGGGTTGCATTCGAGAATGAGTACATGGCTGCTAACACATCTGAGACCATTGGTTGAGGATTGTGTAATCAATCTGGACTCAACACAGTAACAGCTACTCAGTGACTTCTTGTTTAAATATGCTGACGTATTTATTGGCCTAGATGGCCATTTGGGTTGGACAACAATAACCTAATATCATATAGCTACAGGTGATACATGCCAGATTAAACAACTATCGCACAGGCTTTCCTGGATCACTAGGAATAAAGCCAGCACTGGAAACAGCAGATGTTAAAGGACAGAATCATACAGCTAAAAGAGTGTTTGGTTGTCTCCAAGTGGAAGGTATGTCCAGGTTCTGTGTTAATTTTAGGTGGCTGAACGAAGTAACTCGCATTGATGCCTTTCTCTTGCTATGAGAAGATGACTTCCTTGACGTGATGGAAAGTTCCTGTTGCTTTAGCACTTTGGATTAGGCAACCAGGTACTGACAAGCCAAACTGGATGATAGAGCAGATATAAGGCTACTTTTAGCACACAAGTTATCTTGTATGCACCTACCACTTTTGATTTTATAAGGCTAATGGAAGTCACACTGAAGTGACTGCAATGGGAGATATGTCTGGTCTATGTTGGTGACGTCTGAATGTTTGATTTCATGTTCTAGTCTGTGGCTGAAAATATTATTCTAGCAGATAAAAAAGGCGGACTTGAAACCGAAAAGAGGAAAATGTATGTTCATGTGCATAGAAGTGGAATTTCTAATTCTTAAAATGGAGCTTCCATAGATCCTGCTAACATAGTGCAGTAACCTCAACCCATGACCGAATGATAAGTCTACAGTTGCAATTTTTCTCTATGTACTACCAGCGATTTATGCCTAACTTCTCTAAAATTGCCACACCATTATCAACTGTCACTATCTTACAGATACGATTGAGAAGGAGTGGGGAATGTGAGCAAGCATTCCAGACCCTGAAGCATGCTTTAGTAGAAGCCCCAGTATTGACATATGTATGACAAGACTATGTATTCTTGTTAGATACCAAAGCCAATGATGGTGGAATCAGAGCAGTTTTTGCACTTGCAGAATAAAGAAAATCATGTAATCATGTAGAGCTAATGAATGCAGATACTGTTCGAGAAAGGAGGAACTGTTAGCAGTTGTAGTCTTTGTGAAACACTATTAACACTACTTGTATGGTAGAAAGTTCACTATTCCAGTCGACCATGTGTCACTGAAGTGGTTGATGAACTTTAAATCTCCCAAAGGAATGATGCGTAATGATAAATCATCCAGGGCCACAACATTAAAATACTAATGGATTGTCTCATCATACTACGAGATCCTGTCTGTTTATTGAAATTCCTGACCCTGGACACCATGTAGAACTTGAAACCATAGTGATGTCAAGCTATACAGTAGGTGATTCCACTAATGGCTGGATGTCTCAATTAGCACTATGTTAGCACTAGGAAAAGCAAATGAAGGACCCAGATCTAGCATGGGTGCTCTTTTCCATGCAGCAAGGTAAAGCTTGGCCAGCTCATAAAGACTAAAGTGCTTCAAGGTGTGGCCCATATTCGAGTTGAGATGTTCACTGCTATTGTCAACACTGTTCAGTGTGTGCCACCCAGAAAAAAGCCAGCCCAAACAGAGTAAATTCCAGAAGGTTACTATTGGTCCTCAATTACAGAGAATACCCCTGAATACTGTCTGTCTACTTTTAGAGATAGAACAAAGTTATCTTATGTTCATAGCCATTAATTACTCCATAAAGTAGACTGAGGCTTATCCATTAGTCAATACATTGGTATAGTCTATATCTGATGATTTGGTAATGAACTGGATATCACAGTTTGGAGCACCCGAAGAAACTTTCACAGGTCAGGGAACTAATTTCAACAGACAAGTGTTCACCAAGTTGTATAAAGTATTAGGTGTGGTGAAGGTGTGCACTTCACCTAATAAACCTCCATCTGATGGTCTAAAAGAATGGGTAATATAAACTGTCAAGTATATGCTTAGCAAGTTTGTTAATCCTAACTGGAATGACAGGAATAACCACTTGCCATGTATTATGATAGCATACAGAACTCCCGTTTGCCAAAGATGCTCATGTACTAGTGGGACATCTTACTACCTATAAATATGAAGTAAGATCCTCTCCCCTCCCTAGAATGGACATCTCACAAGAATATGTGATGAGGCTAAGGTGCATGTCAATAACAAGGAAGGGCTGCTATACAACAGAAGAAATGTTATTATAAAACAGTGAAGGAAGCAATGCACCAGCATAGAGATTGGGTATGTCTTTGGTATGTGCCAGTGGCATGGAAGCAGCTAAGCTCTGGCTAAACAGGATCTTTTCTTGTGATGCATTGAGCTATTCAATTGATGTACAAGTTACAACAGCCAAGAGACATGTAAAAGCAAGTAGTACATATTGACCAGCTGTGTCCTTATTTTACCAATGAACCACTTGACCAGGAATCAGAGGAATAGACCAATGACAAAGGGGAAGATTGAAGCATTGTTTTCTTTCACCTTGACCCAGAGGATGAGAAGAAATGAGCTTAAAGTGCTTACCAGACTGCTCACAAAGAGCCAGATAAGCACTGCATCTAGAAGCAAGAGATAATTTTGACAGTAGGCTGAACCACCACAAATGAGCACCTGACTTATATAGCTGAAATTGATTGATGATCATAAGCTAGGATCGTTTGTTGATCATGAGGTTAGTAGGACTAAAAATAGTTTAACAAACCCTTGCTTTCTGAGCTAGCAAGCATAGTTTCACAATAAGAGATAGCAATGAGATATTGGACAATAGCCACTGATTATGATAAGCTAGAATTGCTTGGGGGAGTATATGAAATACTTAGTACACTAACAGTTTGCATAACTGAAGGGTGTTGAAAGTGTGTTGTAGCCTTTGCTTTCTGAGCTATTGATCAGAATTGCATTGAAAGATATCCACAAGATATCGAGTGATAGCTATTTGATTATCATAAGCTAGTATAGGCATGTGACCGAGAAATCAGTGTCTGAAATGAGTTGTAATCTTTACTTTTCAAGTTACAGAGGTGATTTTCAAGGTAAAATTAGGTCAAATATTTTAAGAGAATCACTCACTCGATTTCCTTGAGTGGTAGAAGTCCTACAGATCATACCACGTGATTTTATTCTATACACTTAGCTTTTTATATTCTTTGTCCACATGCAAGGAGAGAGTTGTGTTTTTTTCTGAGTGCATATTAATATATATACAGTAGTAGCAGCACAAGTACTATAGCTGACTTGGTTTAGCTTAGTTCTTCCCATGATTATTTATTTTGTAATGCTTGAAGAGAAAAATAAAATGCGTTTGATGGCTCCTAGAGGGAGGAAGCTTATATTGTACTATGACTTTTGAAATGTAGCTTACATGACATAACCTAAGAAGGTTACTGCTTCTTCTGCCATGTATTTAGACGGTATTATTGTTATTCTGTGTGCATGAGCTGCCTGGCTTTTACTTCTCCTGCTGTGTGTTCGGACAGTGTTGAAGCTACTTTGTGGCATGAGCTGTCTGGCTTTTACTTCTTACTGCTATGTGGTTAGAGAGTGTTACAGCTACTTTGTGGCACGAGCTGCCTGGATTTTACTTCTCCTGCTGCGTGGTTAGACAAATGCAAGGAC